AAAAGAAAAAAAAAAAAAGAAATGGACAGAAGAGCAATACTGAAGGCCCAGGTGGGGATGGATATCATAAATCTTTAGAAATACCAGTATACATAGTTGTGTGATTTTCTTTAGCACCACTCAGCTTCCAAAATATAAATTTGGATTTGGCAGGCAAGGACCAAAGGAATAATGGTGCTGGTACGAAAATCAGCAGAACATTTGACTACGAGGCACAGGCTAGCTAGAGAAGGAAATAAAGCCCAGTGAGAGGATAAACAGGAATAAAGTAAAAAATGCGAAAGTATGGCAATGAGCTAATTAAAGGTTATTTTAAATAAAGTCTGGGACATATGGAGCTAAGGAACAGAGTCCCATCTCCCACAGACTTAATACCAAAGAATAACCAAGCTGTTTTGGTGATTGAGATTTATGGCATCTGAGAGGGAAATATGACAAACTCACCAAACAGTCACGCTGTAGGGTCTTACAAAGAGCATTATACATGTCAGCATCCAAAAAAAGACCATCAGGGATGTCTTGTAAGAAGTCCAGGTCTTTAAAGGTGGGGAGAGGCTTCTCTCGCTCTTTTTGGGAAGCCCGTCGTTTGTAGGTTGAGCCCTTGAGGTCATATTTGATATGCATTTTGACTGACCGGGGTAAGAGATTGTTCATCACCACAATTCGAATGTTCTTGCCACCTGCCTGCACACAGTACAGTCCATAGAATTTAGGCAACAAAGTCCGAGGGTTCTGGTTGAGGTTCTGAGAGCACAAAAGTAAAAAGTTGTAGGAGAACAAGTTAGCTGTTTTTCAGTGAAACTCAAGGACAAAAGTTGCCACCCATCTTCCCTTTCTCTCCTACGTGGAATTCAGACACAATCTGTCTGCCCATAAACCCAAATCGTATTTGTTTAAAATTTCCTAATGCATCTATTTCAATGATGAGATCACCACCAAGCTGAACTACAGACCCTCTGATACAGTAATCAATCAGCATACTGAACATATGACTGATATATTCCTTCAGAGAGATTTAACAGAAGGCTATATCTTTACTTAGCCCTTGGTATACAGTATATTCTTGGGGGTATTACGGGAGACAAAGAGAGTTCCCTAACTTTTCCAGAACTTCCAAGAGCTATCAGAGTAAGACTGTATAGAGTAGTATCAAGAGAAGTATTCACTTCATTTTCCAAACTAGGAACTGGATTAAAGAACAGAAAACAAAAACATCTTGAATCTTGCCTCTGGGTAGAACAGTCTAAGCCAAATAATATTTAAACTAGAACAGATAAACAAAACCCTTTTTAACCATAGAGAGGCAAAACAGGGTAAAAAGCATAAAAATGAACTACATTCTTAAGACAGAAGCAATGACATTGCTTTGCCCTGCTAAGGTAGCTTCCCCAGCCTTGTCCAGGAGTGAGCAACACATGTAGCCAGTGCTCCTTTCCCCCTTACCATGTAGTATCCTGGAAGCAGCTTCTGTAGAAACTCTGCCTCTTTATGCTGGACCGTCTTAATGATGAATTCATCATCGCTGGACACATAGAAGAGGGAACCACTAGCTCCAGAGCTGCAGAGTTCAATCAGTGGTTCACTGCAGAGGGAGCACTATGGCAAAGAGAGAAAAGAGTAAGAGATCGAGACACACCAGGGCCTGCCCAACAGAGAAACCAATTACAGATGCAATTCTGTGCTGAAGAAAAAATAGAGTTGACGCTGTGGGGAGAGAAGGCCTCTTCTCTTGGAAATATCCCTCTGGCTGGTGTAGTGGCTTACACCTGTAATCCTAGCACTTTGGGTGGCCAAGGCAGGAGAATTGCTTGAGCCCAGGAGTTTGAGACCAGCCTGGGCAATATAGCAAGACCCTATCTCTACAAAAACATAGGAAAAAAAAATAATCCAGTGGTGGTGTACACTTGTAGTCCTGGCTACTCAAGAGGCTGAGGCAGAAGGATCACCTGAGCCCAGGAGTTTGGGTTACTGTGAACTATGATTGTGCCACTGCACTCCAGCTAGGGCAAAAGAGCTAACCCTGTCTCTTAAAAAAAAAAAGGGGGGGGGGGAACAAAATATCTCTTTGATATTGGAGTTTCAGGGTCCTGAGATCCAGAAGCTTACCAAATAATCATCAGGCCGGATGCCAAATAGCTCCCGAAAATAGCGGAAGGCAACAGGCGCATACGTCTTGAAACGAAAGTCATTGTAGTGATGAGCAGGTGTTAGGTTGCTTCCTTCACTGTGAGGTTAAATAGAGAAAGATATAACTTCCCAGTCCTCCCTATCATCTAGGGAGTCTGCCCTAAGAAGACACTCAGAGTCATGGGGGCGGGGTGGGAGTATGGAGTATACATCCCTCCTGAGACAACCGGAGAGCTTAGATGAGTTACTTAGTGGAACAAAGGCATAACATGGAGAACAAGACATGGGCGTAGGGGATCACACTTCCTACTACCCAATGCATTAGGTTGTTTTTTAGGGATCACTCCACAGTCCAGAGGCTCATGGAAGTATCTAGAGCTGCGGTCCCCAACCCCCAGGCTGCGGACCGGTACCGGTTGGTGGCCTGTTAGGGAGAGGGCCACAGAGCTCTGCTGCCCCCAATGCTCCCCACCCCAGTCTGTGGAAAAATTGTCTTCCATGAAACTTAGGAACCCCGGGTGGGGGGGGGCGGGGACGGTGCATAGCAGGAGGTGAGCGACTGGCCAGTGAGTGAAGTTTCGTCTATATTTATAGCTGCTCCCCATCACTGCATCACTGTCTGAGCTCCCCAAATTGCCATCCGTGGAAAAACTGTCTTCCATGAAACCGGTCCCTGGTGCCAAAAAGGTTGGGGACCACGGATCTAGAAGACAGCAGCTGCTCTCCAAACTCTCCAGCACCCATCACCCTGATTAGGACCAGGTTAAGGATTAGTCAGACCTGAACCACAAAAAATGCCCTGGGTTGCTATGAAGAAGCTAGATTTTCCAGGGCATTCCCCTGAACGTTAACCTCGGTACCTGGGGAAAAAGATACTCTCCACTACGTAGAAATCTTGCATGAGAACATCCCGCTCAGGTTTGGTACTCAGGCTCCCCACAGTGTGAGTAATGCCCAACTGGATGGCACCTTTCAAGGCTGATGAGGTTGTCTAAGAAACAGAAAACAAATGAGAGGAAGTTCCTAGTATTAAATCTGATCATAGCAATAAAAACTCAGAATGGAAGAGCTAGAAGGAGCACTTGAAAGCAAATGCCCTTTAGCCTGAACTACTATTCAGACTAAACTGGGACTATCCAGCTTGTCCATTCCTCACGCTTTACTTTGCAATTAGGCCTGGCAAAGACTGCAAGGACAGCAAATACACAGAGTAGCAACAGTGGGACTATCTGAGCCAGCCTCAGCTAGGCAATGTGTTCCTTCCTATCAGCCTGCCTAAACAAAAGTTCTGTATCTCTATTTGGAAGATACATTGTATTGAAAGAATAATCTTAGTTCTCATTCCTAAAATTCCTGCCCCCAGAATGTATCTGGGGCCCTCCAAACATTTATCTCATATAGAATGTAACTACAATCAAATAATATTCTGATTTGACGACCTGGCTACAAAAGCTTCAGTCCTATAAGGTTGTGGTCCCCAACCTGGTACTGGTCTGTGGCCTATTGGGGACCAGGCTGCAGAGTTCCACTATAGGCACCACCACCCCTCCCTTGACTTCCATGGAGAAATTGTCTTCCATGAAACCTGTCCCTGGTGCCAAAAAGGTTGGAGATCGCTGCTCTAAGGAAGGGTCTGACTAGTGTCTCAAGGACAACAGAGTGGCAAAAAGAACTGCTAATTGAAGAAGAAAGCATGAAAGATTCAAATTATTTATGAAAGAAGGATTTAGAATTATCATAATATGGTCAAAATACAAATACTAGAGCCCTACTCTTATAATCTAGGATTCTAATCCCACAGGAAAATATCACCTCATTTAGATTTGTGCTGTCCAATACAGTAGCCACTAGTCACACATGACTATTTAAACTTAAGTTAATTAAAATGAAATAAAAACCACGTCCTTGGTCTTAGTAGCCACAGTTCAAATGTGGCTAGTGGCTAGCATATTGGATAGCACAGACATAGCATATTTCACTATAGAAACTTCCATTGGATAGCTTTGCTCTAAATTATCTCCCTTATCCCCAACTCCCACCAGACATTACTCATATTTCTACTTAGTCCTCAGTGGGCATTAAAAATTATAATAAGTATTTAAAGTGTTTGCCTCCCCAGTTAGACTATAAACTCATCTTTTTATCTCAATCTTCAACACATAAAAAGAGCTCAATAAATGTCTCTTGAATTGATGTGGGCCTCGCAAGCCATTTTGAGGATAGTGAGGTCCACAAAAATGTGAGTTAGTCCACCTCTGCTACTTGGGACGATGAAATAAAGTCAGAGAACAGACACAAAATTTACATGGGCCAGAAACAGGACTCCAAGAAATTTTTATGATCTATATCTGATAAAGTACAGATGCTAAATGGGAGGTTGAACACTGTTCCTTGGGAAGCCTAAACATCTCCAAATTAGTCCAGAACTGTAGAACTGGGATGACCCCAGGATCCAGGATGCTTCTTTCCTGTTTCCCCTTCACTAGTTCAATTTCCTCTTCTTGGCTATCACTACTACCTTTCCCATCCATTTGATACCTAGTGCTCAAAAAAGCAGGTTTTCAAGGCACTATTCACCAGTTGAAATGACAATCTTAAATTAAAAAAAGGAAGGAAGGGAAAGGAAAAGAGAAGAGAAAGAAAAAAATACATTTGACCTGCTGCCTATATCGCCAGGCTGGAATCTGGCCTTCAATTCATGTATATCCAGCAATGGAAGAAAGACAGAAAGACTTCAAGATACACGGTTCCCTGTGGCAAGGTAAGAATGGCCTTCGGGGCCTATTTACATGTTTATACTTAACAGGAAAACCCAGTTTCTTTGGCTCAGTGAAATAGCAAATGAGACCGGATTTGTTCACCAAAAACATTCTCATTTAAACACAAATATACAAACGGGAGACAATTCACCCTTTGTGAAATAAATTCTAAAGTCCAAGTTGTATGATGTACAAAGACTCAGAATATCAAGAAATGGGATAGGATGTGGAGAGTAATATCAAAGGGACAGTGCTGAGGTTCCTGAAGTAAAATGAGAAGTTTCCATCCAGACACACCTTTTTATATGTTGTCTCTCCTGAGGAATCAACACTCCGGTGGCCTATTTTCTTGATGGGCATGCCAGAGGTATAAGGCACCTAGAAGAAGAAGAGTAAAGATTACTATGATTCCCATGCAATACACCAAATAGCTACCATGATGGTATGACAAAACAAAATAAACCAAAACATTCAATATGCCCTTTCTAGATCCAGAACATTTTATAAAACCTTCAGAAGACCCACCCCATGCAAACACATAGCTATAATGTTGCTTCCCAATGAATTAACTACCTAAAACACCACAGAAGAAAACTCCAACGGACATACATTTCACCTTTGATCCTCAGAAAAATGAGAGAGAAAATAAAAATAATTAACATCTAGTTGTTAGGAAGATATGCTGCATTAAAGAAAAGTAGAGGCTATGCATGGTGGCTCACATTTGTAATCCTGGCACTTTGAGAGGCAGAGGTGGGAAGACTGCTTGAGCCCAGGAGTTCAAGACTGGCCTGTGCAATAGTGAGACCTTGTCTCTACAAAAAATTTAAAAATTAGCCAGATGTGGTGGCGTATGCCTGTAGTACCAGCTACTCAAGAGTCTGAGGCAGGAGGATGGCTTGAGCCCAGGAGTCTGGTGCTGCAGTAAGCTATGATGATGCCACTGCACTCTAGCCTGGGCAACAGAGAGCCCATGTCTCAAATATCAAATGAACAAAAAGAAAAGTAGAAACAGGTAAAGTAGGGACTAGCAAACACAGAAAAAAGGACAAACCCCCCAGTTTACAAAAGCAAGATGGGTTAGAAGTGAGGTTCCACAGACCTGTTCTTTTTTTTACCAGCTTCCTTGCAGAAATTACTATCCCTCTAATCCTCAACCCAACCTCAATGCTATTTGCTCAAACTGAATTCACTAGCAGAAATGATTTAGCCACTGGCAAATCCAACTAGTTCTATATCCCAGGAATTAAAAAAGGCTGAGGCAATAAGATGGCTTCTCTGAGATAAGGACCTCAGTTTCTTTTTTTTTTTTTCTTTTTTTGAGACAGAGTCTCACTCTGTTGCCTGGGCTGGAGTGCCGTGGTGTCAGCCTAGCTCACAGCAACCTCAAACTCCTGGGCTCAAGCGAT